AAAAAGGAACCACAGGATGAACAGCAGCTTATGGGAAGAGCACCAAGTCCCAAGGCGCTGAGGCTGGGGATCCCCCCAGCCCATAGGTGTAGCCGCTGACCTACAAGTGGCACAGAATTCCAGGCATCAAGAGGCTGCACAAACACACTTCCCTCCTCCCTTCTCGGGATCATGTTGCAACCCACTATTAATAAAGCTGCCCTGGCTGCCAAGTGCCGGGGGGAAAAACACCCTTTCAGAGAATATACACAGCCATCTTAGGAGATCATTAAGTAAAATGGAAAAACCATTAGACATGGGGTTAAAAGAAGTCCTGGCTCCACTACTTACTGCTTTTGCAGTCTTGGGCAAGTCATTTAAACCCCTGTTAAACATCAGATTTCTCTTTTTTTAAAATAGAACTAATAATATACATCCTACTTACCTTCTAGGATTAATATAACAATATTAGTAATGGGTACCATTTACCCACCACTTATTGTATGCCAGGTACTGTACTAGACATACTGAAGTGACTTCCAGAAGATTCCAGGGGCCAACTTTCCCTGGTTTGAAACCAGATCTATCTCTTATTATCTGTCTGACCTTAGGCAAGTTACATAACCTCACTGGACCTCAATTTCTTCAACTGTAATATAAGGATGATAAAACTTGCCATACAGGGATATTATGAGAATTAAATATTATGAGAATTAAATATTATGAGAATTAAATATTATGAGAATTAAAGAGCTAATACATGCAAAATACATGATAGCTTGTTTGTATCTAGTACACCTTCAATAAATTGCAGCTATTAATATAATCTTACTTAATCACCTCTAGCTATACTCTGCAGTATGTTTATCCTCATTTTTATATTTTTCATGTACTACTCATATCAGGAGCTCTGTATATAATGCCTGGCCCACCTGGGGCTCTAGGGGCCAAAGAGTTGGTGGGCTTGGGCTACCAGTGACAAGACAGGTTCATTTTAATTGTTAACCTGTGGATAACCTCAGACTGTAGTGCTATGTAGAATGCTTCCTTTAAATAAAAAAAAAAAAGAAGGGGGAAGAGGAGGAGGAGGGGGAGGGGGAGGGGGAGGGGGAAGGGAGGAGGAGAAGGTGAAAAGGAGAAGGAGAAGGAGGAAGAGGGGAGGAGAAGGAAGAGGAGGAAGAGGAGGAGGAGGAGGAGGAGGAGGAGAAGAAAAATTAACCTGGGCTTTGAAGGATAGGGAGAATTGACTTAGGCATTGAGGACAAATGAGGACGTTCCAGGTAGGAAATAAGAGATATAGAGGCAGAGACATCCAAAGTATGCTCCCTAATACACAAATCTGACTGGAATACAGAGAGTGGTGTAATGAGTGAGAAAATATGAAACAGAAAGAAAAGGGAGGGAGAGAAGGTCTCTGTGCTGGAAAGCAGCCCATCTTCCCAAAAAGACACCTGCCCTTCTGCCAGAGTTGATAAGTAATAGCCACAGGGTCTTGTGTGAGACCTTCAAAACTGTTCTGATTCTGTCACTTTCTAGGCTGCTACAGTAAATTACTTATCCAATCTTATTTGAAAAGCTATACTTTCATGCAAAGACAATGGAAATAATAGTACCTCATGCAGTTGATGTGTGTCAAAAGAGAATATAAAGGGCTGTGTAAACCTCAGTTTTACAGTAACAGAGGTTCTGAGACAAAGCTCCTAGCACAGCACATAGTAGTGCTTCACCCGTGGCTGTTGCTATGTAGCTACTCAGATATTGGTGTGGTTGTCATCATCTATGTCATCATTACACCTTTCCAGCTGGTAGAAGGGTAAACAAGGCAAATTTATAATTTGCTGATGGACAGTTTATTTATTCTGTTTTGTTACTTACTTGCCATGTGAAGTAAGTTATCCAGGACTCACTGAGGACTGATCAGCTACAGAGCATGTAC